TCACTCTCACTCACAAACCATCACTCACTCACTCACTCCGAGCCCCTCTTCAAATTTTGCCCTAGGTTTTTATTCCTAATTTGATTTCGCAAACTGAAATCTCTATCTTGCCAATGCTGGTGTCATACTTTGCACCTTGTTTGCTTTGCTTTGCGATATGAAACAATTGAGGAATACGCAATTGAAAATTTAACGCGCTTGAGTTTTTGTAACTTCTTGTTGCTACTCTTGATTTATGGCTTTGTTAGCGTGTATAGGCAATCGGTTTTGAAAATGGTTTATGTTTATGAGAAATATACTTGGAAATTGATTTAGGATTTATATGGTTGCTACAGGTTCAAGTTTAGAGTAATACTTCTTTTTTAATCCATGAGTTGAAATATGCATTGGTTGTTTCTTTAAATTGAAACATGTATTGATTACCGGTGTTGGGACTGTCGTGGTTGCGTTGCAGCTGTTTTATGTCTTTGTTTGTTGCATCTAAAAGCTTTCTATTATTACGATCTATTTTTAAGATGATAGATGCTCAGGGATGTGACTGCGATGATCTTATTTTTGGAGGAAGTTGGGGGGCTCAAATTTGTATGCATTTAGAACGATGGGGTTGATGATCATACGATTTGGTATGTTTTTCCCCTTTCTCTTTACCCTTTATGTTCCCCTGCCTGTGTCGCTGATTTAGTCTCTGTTTCTATAGAATTTTTGCTTTTTTATTTGTTTCCCCTCTTACTGCCCACTCTTGTTGCATCTGTCCTTTGGAGTTGAAATGATGAGTTTGTCCTTGTTGAGTTTGGTTGTGTTGGTGCGGTGAGGGAGGGTGTTTTGGGGATTAGCGTGGTTTGGGGCGTCAGTGGTCACATAGGAAATGACTTTGGTAATGTGAGTGAACTACTATGATGCGTGATTGGAAGGGACAAGTGAGAGTGAACTACCGTGATGCGTGATGCGGATAAGAGTATGGTGTGGTGGACAAATTAAGACAAATTGTTGAATCATTGGATAAGTCTATAATTTGTGTCAATCAACATTAAGAGATAATTGAGTTTTTTTAAGTATGTATTGAAAGAGTTCCATTACATAGCATCTATATATAAAACTGATTTTTATTAAGTAGGAACTCTAGGAATAAGGTTAATTGTTTTTGCTGCCCTGTCTGTCACAAGTTTAGGGGAGGGATAATAAATGGCTATGGTCCTCGTCAAGGCATAAATTCTTATTTGCATATAGTAAATTAGTGTATTTTGGGATTAATCTAACTAACTAACCCATTAATTATTAATTATATATATATTTAATGATATGATTGTGAAATAAACTTTATTAATAATTTTTTCTTAACAAGATGGTCAGATTAGTGCATTATTTGATTTTCAAATTTGTATGTTAAATTATGTATTGCTTTGTACAGGTCTTCTGTGAATTTGATTGGGAATTATATGAACTTGAAAGTACAGTGAGTTCATATTTGTTTCCCTGCTTCAAAGTTTCAGCATGATGGAATGTTTTTTTTTTGTTTCATGGAAAACTCTTTTATTTCTCCCACTTTGCTTTCAGGGGAGTATCCAATTTTGAGCAAAGTCCATTTATAACTCCTCCCACTACGTGAGTATCTGGCATTTTCAAAAATTATTTTATTATGATGTTTCAAAGCATTGGGAAATATATGATCATCTTCAATGTATAAGTGTCTAAGATCAACAGAATGAAGAAAACTGAGTTTCATTTCAGATCGACAGAATAGTTCATTTTGTATAAGTGTCTAAGATCCCACTATTGCTGCTGCATTGAGCATACCACCTCAATGAGATAATACAGTGAAAATTTTTCACTACGCCAATGCGTGTACAACCTCTGTCAGAGGCAGGTGGTGAAGTAACAGGACTTGCTTCATGAATTCTTAGTGTATATAGAATTTTATATGTGCTTGATAAATATGTTCCTAGTCTTTAAACTGTTGCATGTCTACACAAGTGTTTGCGTTAAAAGTCTAAACGTCTGTTTGAACATTTTCAAAAATATTTTTAAAAGAAAATATGAAATAATTTTTTTCAATTGATAAAATTAGTTTAAACTAATGAAGTTCTCTAATACTAAATTCTCTAAAACAGTTTTAAATTTATGTATAAATTAATTTTAACTTAAAAAAATATTTTTTCTTTCTATTAAATATATTTATGGAAAAGTTTATCCAACAAATAGTAAATAAATTATAAATAAGCTCTTTCAAACAATATTTGTTCAATATATAATTATTGGTTAGGTGACGGAACCTAGGTCTAGCTGTGCTAATGCCTACCGTTAAAACAGCCATTGCTTGCAGTTTTTTATTAAAACAAGTTGAAGGTCATATATTAGATGTTTCAATCTCACTTTGAACAGAATAATATTTGGTTTATTTAGACAAGACTACTAACCAACAATTCACATCATGTGTTCCAAGACCTTGTATTTTGGTCGAACAAATGAATGTTTATTGTAATGATTATCACCATTATGATCAAAATCTAGGGAGGAAATGATCAAAATTGAAGGTTCATTTATTGATTCTTGAGCTGGTTGAGCAGTGACTAGTCAATTCGCTTGATATTGTTGCCCTTGGATTATACTCCTTTGGCTAATTTTGTGCAAGTGATTCAACACGATGCATCAAAAGAACAGAGTAATCTTATTAAACTCCACCCAAAATATCTCATTGATGTTTCAGCTGATTTTATAGGATTACAAAAGCTTGCTTTGTTAAATTTGGAAGGGTGCCATGTAACAGCTGCATGTTTGGATTCTCATGCATTACCTAAGTGCTTCACCTCAGATAACCATGATTTATTTTGAAATTACTTATCTAATTCCTTTTTTATATATATATTTTAAATTACTTATCTAGTTTTCATTTTTATGTATGCCATTTTTTAAATTAATTTATTTATCTAGTTTTCATTTTTATATATGCCATTTTTTAAATTAATTTACTTATCTAGTTTTTATTTTTATATATGCCACTTTTTAAATTAATTTACTTATCTATTTTTCTTCTTCTTGAACCTTGTCAGATGGATGTAGTAATGGATAAATCATGGATTGATATGCCAAGGAATACAATAGAATATCTAGATGGATTAAATAAATTCTTAGATTTTTCTTTTGAAAATCGATCTGTCAATGGTGCAATAAGGTGTCCATGTCCTAAATGTCATTTTAGTAAATGGAAAACTAGAGATGTTGTGTTTGACCACTTGATTTGTAAGCAATTTCCAAAAAATGACAAAGTTTGGATATGGCATGGTGAAGCATATGAAACAATGGCATCAAGGGACACTGAAGTAATAGACGAGCCGTTGGAAAATGAAAATCCAGTGTTAAATATGATAAATGATGCATTTGGGATCAATAGATACACTGAAGTGGAACATGATATGTATGAAGGACCATTTGAGTTTGTAGACACCACAATTGATGAAGGAAATGAGAAAGTTGATGATTTTCTTAAAGATTGTAACCAACAATTGTATCAAGGGTGTCAAAGGTACTCAAAGTTGTCTTTTCTATTAAGGCTATATCATATAAAATGTTTGTGTGGTGTGACCGACAAGGCGATGACAATGATTTTAGAGTTATTGAAAGATGCATTTGAATATGCAAACATTCCTAATTCATTTTATGAGGCTAAGAAGGTGATTTACAAGCTTGGTCTCAATTATACTAAGATAGATGCTTGCCCAAGAAATTGCATGTTATATTGGGGGGAAGATAAAAATTTGGAGACTTGCAAACATTGTAAAAAATCTAGATGGAAACAAAAAGGTACTAATGGTAAAAAGAAACTACCAGCAAAGGTCTTACGATACTTTCCCTTAAAACCAAGGTTGCAAAGGTTATTTATGTGTTCCAAAACAGCAAAGTCCATGAGATGGCATGCTTTAAATAGTAACCCAGATGGATTATTGAGGCATCCAAGAGATGGCAAAGCATGGAAGTATTTTGATCAATTTCACCCTGAATTTGCTTTAGAACCTAGAAATGTCCGCCTTGGTCTTGCAACTGATGGTTTCAATCCAAATAGAACCCTGGGTAATAGTTATAGTATATGGCCGGTAATTCTAATTCCATACAATCGACCTCCTTGGGAATGCATGAAACAAACTTCTTTGATTCTTTCTATGATCATCCCAGGTAAAAAAATGCCTGGGGATAAGATTGATGTGTACCTACAACCTTTAATCAAAGAACTAAATGAGCTATGGGTTGAAGGTGTGGAAACTTATGATTCTTCTCTAAAAGAAAGCTTCACTATGCGAGCAGCTCTCATGTGGACAATCAGTGATTTCCCTGGGCTTTGTACTTTATCTGGGTGGAATACTTATACTGGGTATGCATGTCCGACTTGTAATTTTGATACTTTTCCTTGTCGATTAAGAGGTAGTTATAAATGGTGTTTTATGGGACATCGACGATTTTTGGAGAGGGGTCATAAGTTTAGATTGATGAAAAATCATTTTGATGGCACAATTGAAGAAAGGGATGCACCAAGATTATTGTCTGGGTCAGAAATTTTGAAGCAAATTGATAATTATTTAAAAGACCTTGAGTTAAATTGTAAAGGGAAACGAAATCGTGAAGAAAATAGACCAAAGCAGTGGAAAAAGAAAAGCATATTCTTTAATTTGCCTTATTGGAAGCATAATCTTTTACGTCATAATCTTGATGTCATGCATATTGAGAATAACGTTTGTGACAATGTGTTGTATACATTGATTAAAGATGAAAAATCAAAAGATCACCTTGAAGCTCGTCAAGATCTACAAGATATGGGAATAAAAGAGGATCTTTGGCCAGATGAAAATGGAAAATATCTTCCTTTATTGTTTTCAATGACAAAAGAAAAAAAAAAGATATTCCTCCCATGGTTCCTCTTGAGGAGCCGCTTGCACCTACTCAACGACCACGTGTAGGTCGTGAGTCAAGTAGGGTATGGACTGTACAAGTCATAAGTAACATTATTTTCCATGGCTCCTCCTGACCAGCCACATATTCCTTCCATGGCTCCTCTTGAACAGCCGTATATTCCTCCCATGGCTCCTCCTGAGCAGACGCTTGCACCTACTCAACGACCACGTGTAGGTCGTGAGTCAAGTAGGGTATGGACTGTACAAGTCATAGGTAACATTATTTTCTATTTTACTATCCAACAGTTATATTTCTTATGAAAACTTCTTATATTTGTTATGTACCCATCAAAAACTTTTATATAAGCTATGTCACATTTTAACAGATGAGCAAGGAAATACAAAAAAGACTAAGTTGACAAAATCAGGAGTATTTGAGATGCCACGTGGTGAACGTATAGTTGTGCCATTTGATAGGCAAAAACGAGCCTATGGAGAAGCAGCGACACTTCTTTTAGGAGCTTGTGGGCGTATTTCCACTGATTCAAAAAATATTCCCATTAACTTTGAGAGTTGGATAAAAGTTCCAAAATCATATAAGGATGATTGCTTTAACACTTTAAAGGTACATGCTTAAGTAAAATTTTATGGTCATTTTTTTTTGTAATTATGATATACTAACATGTGTTTTTCTTTTTGTTTAAAGAATCTATTTCATTTTCAGGCTTCAGAATTGATTGCTAAGCGTTATTGTTCACTTTCCATGTCAAGTATAGGAATGCAAAGATGAATATGTGGAACCGTGTTTATGACCATTGTCAAGAGAACAGTTAATTGCTAGAGTTCCTGATGGTATTCATAAAGATCAATGGTCATCATTTGTTGACTATCATCTAAGGCCAAATTATCAGGTAGTTTTAACAAATATTTATGATCATTAATTATTTTTTCAGCTTGACGTTTTAATAAATATTGTTTTTTCATAAGAATTGTGCAAAAAAAATACTGAAGTAAGAAGAAAGCAAACGATTCCACGTACCGATGGTGCAAAATTGTTGTCTACGAAACAACATGAGATGGTAAATATTTTTCTTCAGTTATTGAGCTTTAATAAAGAATTATTTATATTGTTCATTTGGAGTTACATTGTCATTTCTATTAGGAACAAGAGCTTGGACGTGTTGTGGGTCGAGGTGAACTATACATTGCAACTCACAAGAAAAAAGATGGGTCTTATGTCAATGAGGAGGCAAGGTCTATTGGGGTATGTTGCAAGTAATTTGAATTGAACATAGAATTCATTTAAAGCATATATGATATATCCCTCAATCTTATAATTAACTTGCACTGGTGAAATTTCTTATATGGATGGAGGGCAACTACAACCCAAACAATTTTTTTTTCTACTTCATTAATTATGTGTAATTTCTGAATTATGATCCTGCAATACACTGTTGAGTATTATATCTTACCTAGCTGGCCCTGCTTGATTAGATGGCTTTGTCCTAGACAAATGCTAATTTTCTTCTTTAGCTGAATAATTGACAAATTGAAATGCAGTGGATCAATTTTTGAGGTAGTTGGTCTGAGAGATATTGATGAAATTTTAGTGATCTGCTTGTAAAACTGAAGAAACAAATGAAAATGAAATTAAGCCACTTGGCATTATAAGAAATGATTCTTAATTATGACAATTTGAGGTAGACTAATTTGAGTTTTTGGTACCAGAAATATTGATATTGATGCACTTTTAGTGAACTATTTCTGAAAATGAAAAAAAGAAAGCTTTGTTTATAAGTTATATTTATAGAAGCATGGTGAATTATGATTAGCATTTTTGTGGGATTAAAGATAGCTTTTACCAGTCAAAATCATACTAATCTGTTCACTATTGGCTCTAGAGCTTTGTTTGTAGCTTTATTCATTATATGATTTTAATATTACCATAACAATCCTAAATTATGTGAAACACTGATCTCAACAACTATTCTATTTAGAAGTCATAAGCAATCTAAAATGAGAAGTTGTATTCGTACTATATGTATTAGCATAATTGTTTGTGAAACAAAGAAAGAAAAGATAAAAGAGAATTGTATAATAAAATGGTTAATCATTGATGTGAAGAGATAAAAAAATAAAAATAGTATTAAAAAGTGGTCTAGAAAAATAATATTTTCTTGAAATGACAGTAACATTGAAAAATGAATAAATGGGCTAGGCCCATACGTGAGTTGAAAGAGAAAAAGGAACAAAACAAAAAAGGCAGATGATAAACACACCTCCACTCTCGTATAAACACACTCCCTTTTAAAAAAAATATATATAAAATATCTAAATTACCCTTAAAAAAAAAA